AATGAATGAATAAAATGTATATTTAAATTAACACTGTTGCCTATTGCTAGAATGCAATGGACTGTGGAATGAATACTCAGGAAAAGGGTGCTATTACTGTTGTGATACAGGTGTATTATATATTAAGAAAATAGATTTTATATTACTATATTAAGGATCTTAGTGGTCTTTTGATCATGTATGTAATTTTAAATGTTATTTTGATATATGGAATGTATTGCTGTACAGTAGTTTTGTTGTATTGAGTATTTAAATTTTGACGATGATGACTATCCGATTATGTATGTATATTTATATGTTATATTGTATTATTGACTTGTTCTATATCTGAGGCAGATACCTCTATGGATTTTTTGGAACTACAAATAAATGAATGAATGTATGGGGCTTGTAGTGATATTCTGGCATTTACAACATGTATACACCACCTTTCTTATTGTGTAATGGGATCTGGTGGGTACGATTTACAATATCACAATGGTATATGTTCTGTGAATTTATACAGCCACTAAGATGGAACCAGAGATCATTCACTGTAGGAAGAAGCCAGAATCAACTTCTTGCCTTGTGAGTCAGAGTTGATATTCCAGTGCATTGGGTTGAGAAATTTGCTGCCTCCCAGAGATGTGTTACTGCTAACCAAATTTATGTTAATCATAATTACTATTTACATAATGCTCCATTCTGATAAAAATCCAATGGGGGATAAGTATGATATTGCTTATGCAGGTAATTTTTTTGAAATTTTGATGATTCTTACAATCACAATTAGTGTTATGAATATGGAATTTCAATAGATTTCATTGTAAGTGGCATCCCTATTCATTTTCACAGGGGAATGGATGTTGTTGCACGCAATCAGTTAGTGGAGTGTATTGAATGCCACTCTCTGTATCATCAAGAATGCCATCAGCCACCTGTGGCTGAGGCAGACATGAATGATCCACGTTCCGCATGGTATTGTTCAAACTGCACCAAGGCAATGAGTAAAATTGTGAGTTGCATCTGTATCATAACTTTTTGGACTGGTATTGTGTTAAAGTAACTTTAATTATAGATATTGTCACGTGTTGGGTATGTCATGCGACAAATAACTTCACGCCGTTCAGGGATGTAGTGAGTATTTACTCGCCTTCACTTTTATACTTATACAATTCACCATATCACAATTGATCTTAATCTTATACAATCCAGTATCTCAATTGTTGTTCAACTATATCTCAGCGAATGTTGGACTTCAGCTCTCTTCAACGGTGACCATCTCAAGACTGACTTATTACTGTGGAAGTGCATTATCCCTGCTGGTTTGACAGTCTGTTGTTACGCAATGAACCTTTTATCTCTGGGGAAACACGTTTGTTGATTCTGCAATTCCTACGCAATGGCCGACTGTTATTGCACTACCATGGAAGTATCTACTCCAAACATGTTACAGTATCATATCAGCACTGTACTGAAAATACTCATGACAGTTGTATCACATGTTACTTCAAATAATTCAGTGCTTCTCCAACAATTTCATCATAAACTGTTAGAATGTGCTGGCCCTGCCTGTCTGTTCTGTCTGTGCATATATCATATGTAACATTGTAGCGAGATTAAATGCTAAGAAATGTATACTACTGTTTTTCCCATATGAGCAAGTAGTAGTCACTGATAATTCTTTTCCCATTTCTACATCAGACAAGATCAAACAGGCCTACAGGAAATAGGATTAAAGATAAATACTGACCATCAGTTTGGACAATTGGTTTCTGTATACATTTTCCAAACATTTTTGTAAATTAGTAAGGACATATTTAGAGTTCTTTGATATGTTAAACCAGTGACAAGGGAATGACTGTGGAACTGAAGTGATGTAGTAGATGGATTTTCTGGAGCACCGTGGTGTTTTAATATTATGAATTTCAGCTAAGTAGTTATGTGCAGACATATTGTGCAGGATCTCTTTTAAGTTAGATTACACTTTCAAAGATGGGCATGCCATAATATAGTTGGTTGAGGCACTATGATACAAGCCGGAAGGTCATGGATTCGAGTCCAGATGAGGTGGATTTTTCAATTTACCTAACCCTTCCAGCTGCACTATGGCCCTGGGGTTGACTCAGCCTCTAACATAAATGAGTACCAGGAATCTTCCTGGGGGGGATAAAGGGCAGCCAGCGCATAAGGCTGACAACCTTACTGCCATCTGTGAGCCGATTGTCTAGAGAAAATGTGGGAGCCTTGATGTCTCACATTGCTATGGGCCTTCATGGCTTTACAGGGATTCCTTTACCTTACACTTTTAAACACTCATTCCCAGAAATCAGTAGAACTATGAATGTGAAGTGACGTGTATTATTATTTTTCCCCAGTGGATTTTCAGCTTTCACAAATGTTCTATGTGACATCCTCACATAGTATGGATAATATCCGATCTGTGCCATTGTGACAGCAGCTGCAACAATTCTTACTCATAGTTCACAAGTTATTGGAAGGCAGGGATGCACCCAGTCGTTGATGTAGTCCCACAGGGAAATGCCTAGTGCAGTCTGACCTGTTGACCAAAGGGGCAGGGAATGGGCTCTGCTGAAGGGAAGGACCATATATCCTCCATGTCTTCAGACAGTGTTGTCCTCTTTGGCACTGATGTGGAATGTGACCTTATGGTGATCTGATTTCTGAAGTGCTACCGAATTTAGAAAGATCCTATATTTTCCATAATTCTTAATATGCAGTCCATGACAAGCTGAGTGAATCTGCTTCATGGAGTTAGTTTCATTCACATAAAAAATAGCATACTTTTAATTGCAAGTTAAGTTGTAAAAATATATTAATTCTTAAACACTTAAAAACTGAAAACCATTGAAAATTGTATGTTGCACAACACTGATGAATGCCTTTACAACACAAACATTTTTCTTTCCTTCATATCTGTCAGAAGTGTTACTGAGACCTAGGTAATGTTTTAGCAAAATGCTGGGAACAGCAGTATTGGAAAGCAAGCAACCACATCCACTGGTCTGGCTGCAGCAACACAATCCCCTTACAGTGCTTCCAGCAGCGGTTCCACTGGGAAACCTACCTTTGCTGCAGGTACAACAAAATCCAACTCATCACCTAACTTCAGTGCTGCAACAAAGACATTTGGAGGTAAGAAGTTTTCACCTCATGACAGTCACAGACTGCTCTGACATGATGGAATATATTGTAACCTCTGAGGCATAATGGCCTTGCCTGCAAGTGATTATTACATTACAAGAATACTAAATTTCAGGCATTTGGATGCTAAAGATAAATTAGACAAATATATTTTTTATCAATACATGTTCTTTTATATGAGTATTCACTTCAGTTTTACTTACTTCTTAATGAAGTAGTGGCTGCAAACATAATTACTGAGAAATTTAAGCCCTATTTATGAAGTAAACTTGTTGTAAAAGAAGAAATGACTCTGAAAGGTATATGAAATTATGGAAATATATCAGTAAAGTGTTTAACTCCATGAGAATTTGGCTTTCATTCTGCAACAAGGGAGGGTATAAAATTGAAACCTAATTTACAGATCCATTGGCAGAATTTCATTATTTTATATATTATGGGTGGTCTGAGGGAGAATGTAGGAGGAAACATTATAAGTCAGTGAATGAGGGCATGATTATACGTGGTGCGTTCCTTATATAATGCCTCCTATTTTATTGTGTTAATATGTAATGTCTGAGCTGGATGTTGGTGGTGTTGTAGTAAAGGTTGAACCTTCCCGCCAATGTACTGTTAATTTAGTTGTCGTGTGACAGATAGCGACAGCAGAGCAGTCTACCAAAATGGCGTCTGACATAGAAGTGCGTATGAAAGAGAAATGTGTTATTGAATTTCTCACTGCCAAACAAATTGTACCCACTGACATCCATCGACACTTGCTAAAGGTGTACGGAGACAATACAGTGGATGTCAGCACAGTGATTCGGTGGGTAGTGCGTTTCAACAGTGGCGAAAGTGAAGTGCACGACAAGCCACGCCATGGGCGTCCCTGCTCAGCTGCCACTCCTCACAATGAACAGCGCCTCATCCGAACAGATCAGCAGATAACGACCAGGGACTGTCAATTCTGAACGCTACAAGATGACGCTGACTAAGCTGAAAGCCCGTATTTCCCGAGTCAGGCCAGAGAAGCAGACAACCTTTCGCTTGCAACATGATAACGCTAGACCCCATACCAGTTTGGCGACCACCGCGCACATTGCAAAGTTTGGCTGGACTGTCCTACCACATCCACCTTATAGCCCCGATTTAGCACCTTCAGACTTCCATCTCTTTGGGCCTATGAAAGACGGACTACGTGGGCAACATTTTCCAGACAACGATGCTGTCATTGCAGCTGTAAGAAAGTGGCTAGCCTCTGCTGGCGCAGACTTTTACAGGCACGGCATACAGGCTCTTGTTCATTGATGGCAAAAGTGCATAACGAATGGTGGTGATTATGTGGAATAATAGCTGTAAGTAGCTGAAATCTTGATCTATTTAACTGTGTTATTATGATTTCTGTATCTGTTGTAGTTTTCTTTAAAAAAAATAGGAGGCATTATATATGGAACACCCTTAGTATTTTCTGAGATTCAAATACAGACTGTGTTATAACATAAACATAAACTTGGTCCTTTCAACACTTTTCTCATGTCATTCCAGATATCTACAGGTTAGGAAAAGGCATGATGTCACATTATATGCATGGCACTTTCATTTGTCTTTCTGCTTATAGCTGTAGAGCTGTAATCTGACAGTTCTGATTGGCTACAAATGAATTGATATGACGAGCAAGAAAGTCATATAGAACTTAAATTAGTATTCTCTAAACTGTACAGTTCCTTTTACACAGTGAGGAAAGTATAGAAGTTTTAGTGATGAAACATACTAGATCCTTCACTTTTCTCTACAACACATGTCATATTTTTCTTACACGACATGTGGAAAGAATTTTGAACAAAAATTTCCAGGCATTATGGTTGAAACATGTCCACCATTCGTGAGGTAGTGAAGACCGTAAGCAGCAGAAACTTTCTGAGGTTATAAAGTGTTGTTGGACATGACACCATACACTCTAGTACCAGAGTTGCAGGAGTACTTACTGCTTCTGAGTTGAGGGTAGAAGAATAAGTGAACCCACAAAAGAAGTGGTATGGTTATAGGGAGAGGGAGGAGAGGAACAGGATCCTATGCCTACAAATAGGTATAAGGAGAATCTTGAAATAATATTTCAGAGTGTTATGTTGTGTATTTTGTTAACTATATGTGGAATTTTTGTCAATACAAGGTATATAATCAATAATTAAATCTATTACTATCTATCTATGGCTCTACATTCTTTTTGTTGGACCTTTGCCGCTTTTTTAGTTTCTTAATCCTATACACAGTCTGTAGGACCCCTTGGATGGGGGATCAGCCCAGTAATCAATAATTACTTATTCTGAATCAACTACACATTTTGGACTAATAGGCCATTCTCAGGTTGATAAACATCCATTTTCCTCTTACCTGTTCTTTGTAGCCATTGGCCAGCATTTGTATTAAATTCTTAAAATTGTGTGCTTTTTTGAAGCTTTGTCAGTGATTAAAACATTATTACATCATTACAGACATTTAGATCTTAATGTACACAGTGGATGGCCTTGATGTTCACTCTCACTCACTCATGGAGCTGGTCCCTTCTTGAGAAACCGCCAATTGTGCAGCTACTCAAGAACTTCCCAGTATTTTATGGAACCCAAAGGTTCATTACTGTGTTCACAAGAACCATCCACTGGTCCCTATCCTAAGCCAGATCAATCCAATCCATGCCATCCCATCCTGTCTCTCTAAGATCCATTTTAATATTGTTACAAGTTATGAAGCTCCTCATTATGCAGTTTTCTCCAACCTCCTGTCACTTCATCCCTCTTCGGTCCAAAATTCTCAACATTGTGCTCGAACACCCTCAGTCTATGTTCTTCCCATAATGTCAGAGGCCAAGTTTCACACCCATACAGAACCACAGGCAAAATTATAGTTCTGTATATTCTGATTTCTGTGTTTTTGGACAGCAAACAAGAAGACAAAATATTCTGGACTGAATGTTAGCAAGGTTCAATCTCCTCTTAAGTTGCTCCTGAATCAGGTTTTGATTTTTATCATAATTCCCAAATATTTGAACTGTGCCACATTTTCAAAACATCTGTTACCTATCATTATATCATGATTTTGCCCTGCATCTTGGTGACAAGACAACAACATGTACTTAGTTTTCTCTGTGCTTATTTCTAGAACAACCTCCTCACTAGCATCAATTAAAGTTCATGTATTTCTCTTTGTGGTATTTATATTATCACCCAGTAGATTCACATCATCAGCATAGACTAACAGCTGATGTGTCCCATTTAATTTCAGTCCCACCTGGTTTTCCTGGACCTTCCGAATGGCAGATTCTACAGCAAAGTTGAAAAGCAATGGCGATAAAGCATCTCCTTGTTTTTAGATCATTCTGGATAGATCAGACTGATGTTTACCTATATGGACTTTACCGTATGTTTCGTTTAAACACATTTTAATCAGCCTAACTAGTTTCATGGGTATCCCAAACTCTTATCAGAATATTGTACAGTACTTCCCTCCTAACTGAATCATAGGCTTTCTTGAAGTCTACAAATAGCTGATGTACTGTCTCATTGTATTCACATTTTTTCTCCAGTATGTGATGAATGCCAAAGATCCGATCAGTAGTTGATCTGTTATGTCGAAACCCGCACTGATGATCGTCAGTAATTTCATCTATATATGGACTTAACCTTGAGAGAAGAATATCCCTTGATATTGTATGGGAGAAACCCTATGAATAAAAGTCTAAGATAAAATCCCAGCCACCATTTCAATCACAATTTGAGAGTGCCAGCCAAGCAACACATTCCACCCTGCTACAGGAGAACAGCATCACTTATGATGTGTTTACAAGGTCAATAGCATAACCAAATTGAAAATTGAAACCATATTTTGATGTTATCGATTAGTGAGTATTTTGATTCAACTTAAGTAGGAGGACTTTCCTTTTGTTTGATTAACTGTTGTTGTTTGACTAAATCAGCTGTGTACACATCCATATTCTCAGCTGTCATTTATTATCCTGTGATTGTATGTTTAGTCATTAATTGCAATTTCTGTAGAATTGAGTCAGAAAGACAGGCAGTATTTGAAACTGTTAACAACTTTCAATTTGGTTGGCCGTTCCATGACTGTGCAACTCAAATCAACTAATGCAAATGCACCTTTATAGCTGAGCTGCCATTTCTGTCTGTCCAAGAAGGGATTATTTACAACACTGCGGTTGTACAGCATCTATGGCAAGTAGTGAAGGGAGAGGAATATGGTTAAGATTTTCAAGGGCCTGTTTATATCACTGCGGTTATGTGGTATCTGTGGGTAAGAGTGAAGTAGGAGGAATCTGATGAGACCTTTCAGATTTCGAGAACTGTGTTGCTGTGGATTTGGCGTGATTGTAAAGTCACTGGCATCGCTGCATTTTAAGCAACAGTAGTGTTCATTAGGAAGTTTTTTAAAGACAGGTTCAGTACATGTGTAATATTGTTAAAGTTATTGTTACAGTTAAATTTGCCTTTTATTGTATTTACACTTATTCTGACATTTGATGTGTTTCAATGTAATTGAATTTTTTACAACGAATATAATTTTGTAACTCACACAATTCTGTTTTACTGACATTTCATTGTATTCAGAAGGCTTTGCTTTGAGTCTCGCCAGGACACTGGTTATTGTGACATTTTCGGTTTTCCTCAGTCTCCCAAACAAATGTCATTAAATTACCCTGAATAGGCAAAGACTCCTTCCTTCATATCCTTTCAAATTCATGATTCATCCTACCATTCAGTGCTATATAATCTCGTTACTGACACCATCATAAAGTAACCCACTAAAAAAATACATACCAGTTCATATGAAAATTTGGTTCAGTGCCTTCTTGCACATTGGCTAAGAAATTGAAAGATTACCTAACTTCAAGGTATGGAAATCCATAACAGTGAAAATTTGGGCAAAATACACCACAAAGAAACATAAATATTTAATTAATTTGGTCATTACCAATATCGAAATGTGGGTATTAAAATGTAATTGAATACATATATAAAAGAACTGCCTTCATTTGTATTATTAAGTACCTTATTTTGTGTTCTGTAATTCGCACCTAGATTTTAAAGAAAGTTTTAAAGGAAAAAAAATGTTGTACCTCCAGACTATAAGACATATATTATGCAGTATTTTCTAGGAAACTTCCAAAGATATAGCATTAAATAAGATTTTGTGCCACGAACTTCATACCTCCACGTCTGTTCCTGCCACCCCTGCTCACATCATGTATGCAGGAATGGTGTCCAGACCACTAGCTATCCTTTCATCTGGTTCCATTTCATTTCTTGGTTTTGTATAATAAAATTACTTTTCCTAATCCAACAGGAATAAGTTACAAGGTGTTAAGTCAGGGCTACAAGGAGATCATGGATGTCATGTTTTCCATCCACCTGCCAGGAAAATGTTGATGCAATCACTCCAACTTTATGCTTTGTGACAGTTTTACCATGCTTTACAAAACATCAATATAAGTCCTCTATAATTTGTAGCCATAACACTAAACTTCCATTGTATATTTGCTGGCATAAACATGGTCATTGTAAAAATCCTGAATTCAACAGTTTAATTCCTTTTGAGGCAAGTTTCCTCGTTTTGAAGAACTTCACTAAGCAGTCCTACATTCAAGTTCATGCCAGTCTGTATTGCATATGTGGCAGGCAGTACTGTATTGGGACAGTATTTATGGATTTTTCTCTGTTGATCCATTACATTAAAGTTAAATAATGTCATACTTTAATACTTTAAGTGTGGTTATTAGTGTACTACCTGTTTTAACATTCAAACATTGTACACTTTGCATACAGTGTGTTTCATATGATTCACGGAATATATAAGGTTTATTTCCTTACACAGCATTTACTGACTAGTAACGGAGATGCAGTATTACACTTCATTTTGCTGAAATACTTTTTATTTTAAAATAAGATGTGAAATCATCATCTAAGTGAACCTAATTTAATTTCTGTTGATTAAATGCTATTAAAAAATCTTACATGTTTTAGTCATATATGAACATTCTCAGTTGAAGCTCATTGATGTGAGTCAACCACTGTCAAGTGCACTGCATATTGCTGCCTCTTTAAGGCATCAGTGAACTTTCATTAGTAATATTATTCTCAACTTTTTTGACTTCATATAATTCCTACATACAAATTATAGTTTTCTTTTACATCTGGTATCCCCTCTGAAGATGGTTATTTATGACCAAAACACATCATGGTTTTAATGTCAGCATGAGAAAATAAATGAGATACGCTCAGATGGTGACATTATGTCTTATTTGAGATGTATTTTGTTTTGTTATAGGTGCAGACTGAATTTTGAAATCTTACATTAATTTCAGGCTTCATAAATTTTCACTAAATAATCCACAAATCAGTCATACAACATGCTTTCCATGTTCAGGGAAAGATGTTTTTGGTTTTGAACTTAATATCATCTTCTATTACAGGCCTGCCTTTACCAACATCAAAAACTACAAGCATCAGTTCAAAACAATGCCCTATTCCTACCACCTCTCAGAAGTGTGTAATGCCCAATATCAATATTATAAGTGCGGATAAACGGTTGCAGATTATGAAGAAAAAGGCTGCCAAAATGCAAGAGAAGAGGAAACATTCCAAATAGAATCTACATTCAGTGCAATAATTGTATTGTTCTGTACAGCATCTATGTTCATATTTAAATTAAAATTCAAGCTTAATACTTGGACATGTAAGTATGCGTATAAAAATGTATACTGAAGAGCTAATATTGAGGTGAGAAAACACATGAATAACATAGGACAGTGAGCATTTTGTTGCTCCAATAGTGCGTTCTTAACACATTCAGATCCATACCTTGCTCTCAGCAGACAACAGAAAACTGAATTCCAAGATACGTCATTGCAAGAAATACCCATTTCCTCTTTTCCAAAGTACAAGAAGAAGACTGTGCACTGCATTGGCTACAAAGAAATGCATATGATTCGACTGATATCTAGGGCTAAGCTAGAAAGGTTAATTTTTCTTTTGGCAAATTTAATAAATCATCGCATGGCATGGAGCCCTTCCTAAGAAGCTAGTGGTCTCATATTCTTGAAAGTCCCCAGTTTTTATGTAACCGAAACCTTCATGACTGTGTTCACAAGAGGCTACAAAGTGTACTAAAAAGGGGGCTGTTTTACAAAGACGGAGCATGTAAAGTTGACACGTGTTTAATACACTGCAATAAATATTTATTTTTTTAAGAGGTGGACCGCCTCTGTGGTCTAGTGGTCAGAGTTCCTGGTTACAGATCCATAGGTCCGGGTTCAATTCCCGGCACTACCAGATTTTTTCTGAGTAGTAGTGGATCTGGAATGGGGTCCACTCAGTCTTGTGACAATAATTGAGGAGCTATTTCAAGGAAATAGTGGCTGCAGTCTACAAAACCAAAATGAACGGCCATGGGGATTCGTTGCGCTGACCACGTGACACCCTCTATCCGCAAATGTTGGCACTAACTTTGCAGATAAGCAGCGGTCACTTGGTTGGTATAGTTTGCTTGCAAACTAAAATCACGGAGTTCTTTTTTTTTATGGTGGTGATAAATGTGTAGTAGATGGTTGACTGATCTATGGTTGTAACAGTGTTAGAAGTTACAGATTTTTGTGACTGCTTATACTGTAATATTAACTGAAGTTACTTTATAAACATATGTTGTAGGATGTGTGTACAGATATGCTGAGTATAGATGACCCACAATACAGTGATTTACTCTTTTGACTTTATTCATGATCCTGTTGTTATTTAAAACAATTCTGGAGACTTGCAATCTGTCTCTGCCCTCAGTAGGGCCCAAATGATAGACCTAGTCTCTGTCTCCAGACTGTGCTGTGCACTTTACAAACAAGAGTACACTGATGTGCAGTGTGATGATTATGACTGAATGTGATTAAATCAGACTTTTTTAGACACACTCAGTGATGCATAAGAAAATATCATAACCCTTCTGAACATTCAGCTATGGTTGAAGTCATTGTAAACTTCAAAGGCGGGTAGTTTTGAGGCAGTACATCCCTAAGGAACAACAATGTTTCAGAATAAAAATGTACAAGCTGTGTGATGAAGCAGGCTATACTTACAGATTTGCTTGGGGAAACATAAAAAACTTGCCAACCAAATTCATCTGCAGTAAAAAGAGAATGCTCATGCAAATAATTTTAATGCATTTTTAAAGCTATTAATAATACAGACATAAATACACAAAGAGAAATTATGTGCATATTGAATACTATACTAGACCAAAATTAGTTTCAGTATGAACAAAAATATTACAAACAAACAGATGTTTTAGCTATGGGAGCTCCAACATCTGCAATATTAGCAGAAATATACATCCAGAACATGGAGCACACACAAATATACAACATATTAAAAAATCAGAAAATAATTGGATATTTCAGATATGTTGACGACATACTAATATTGTATGATATAAACAAAACAAATATTGACAACATGATTGTGGAATTTAATAAACTGCAGCCAATGATAAATTTCACAATAGAGAAAGAGAACCATAGATCTATAAATTTCTTAGATATAGGAATATATAGAGAAATGGAAAAGTTACAATTCTCAATCCACCGAAAACACACTTCAACGGACATAATAATACCAAGTGACTCATGTCACCCACAAGAACACAAGATATCTGGTATTAAATACCTCACAGATCGAGTAAATAACTACCCCATCACCAGAGTAGCAAAAGATAATGAGATAGAAACTATAAACAACATACTCATAAATAACAAGTACAACACAGATAAAATTACAGAACTAACTACAAATAACAGAAAACAAAACATTACAAAAAAGCAGAACATTACAGAGAATTCAGAAGAACAAAAAACCAAAACGAAATGGGCAACATTCACATATATAGGAAAAGAAACTAGAAATATCACAAAATTAAAAATAGCATTTAGAACTAAGAACAATTTACAACATATATTAAAATCAAGACCACGAATAAATAAATATAACAATAGCGGCATATATAGTATGAAATGCCTAGATTGCCCCAAGGAATATATAGGACAAACCGGGAGGAAATTTAATACCAGATATAAAGAACACATACATGACATAAGACACAATAACAGCAATACAGG